TGCAAATAAGTCTTTACAGCTCTCTTGCTTATATCGATGCAATTTATCACGTAGACAATATTGCAGAACTGCTGATACAAAAGCTTTGTCCAAAGCAGCAAAAATGCTTCCACCGTTTAATTTCAGACTGGTGAAGTACAAACCACTGTGCTGCAGCTCCACGCAAAGTGCTTCCAAGCACTGCATTCATTTGATTCGATAACGATTTTAATTTGGTGACTTGCGCCGAAAAAGAGTTGTCTATGTCTGTCCAATAAAGACGAACAGATTAATCACTTCTCCACTATAAGTTGGCAATTTTAATCTCTCAACTTTAACTTTAGGCTCCAGTTGTTTCTGGCTTATTTGTCGATAATCTGTTCTTGTTTATTCACAACTTGTAAACGATCTTGCATGATCTGGACATTATCTATCGGCTCACAGTTAGCTGTACGCATTCACACTCAAATGAAATTTGAGATCCAGCACGGCGCTTCTTGCCCATAGAGCGTGCACGATTGATTTGGGCCAACTTTCTTTCACCAAAGTTACAGACTCAAGGTGATGAGTGAGGTAGTGCGGGTCGGCTTCTGCGTACACGACTTAAACCTTTCGAAATGAATTACCTGCTTTGAGCTACTAAGCCGGGTCCAACCTCGATACCCAACTGAGTGACTTTATCTGCTAAAGCAGACTCTCAGAATTGCTGGCAGATTATGAAAACCACACATTCAACGGCACACCACAGCGCTTTCAGACCGGATGGAGCAAAATAAGGGACAGCAAATACCCAGGGACACCCAACGAGAATCTTGACGACGAGAGGAGACCAACAAGTACGAATACTTGGAAGGATCGTTCGCACTTATGAGGTGTTGGACGGTAGAGGCGAAATAAGAAGTGAGATTATTTGTTAGACTAATTCCTACGATATATGTAGACTATTCTATTCCTTTCTACTGTTTCTTGTATGCATTTCGTTCCTCCTATGATGTCGCCTCTCCTTTGGCTATAAGAGGTGTATGCATCATCTCTCCTTGAATGTGGGTACATTCTGTATAAATCGACAAGAGACCAACACTCACTTACGTTTTAGACCGTATTCTAGTATCATAGAACATGTGAGTGTGGTCCCTGACAGTACCCTTGTATGTATGGGTAGGTCAAACAAGATGATGTCACCATACATAGGTGTAGATTACACAAGTTTGCGTAATTGCACAGTGGTGTGGCTACACCGTAACAACGATCCACCGCGTGGCAGGATTGGAAGTAGTTTTTGTATATAACTATATTTATTAGGCTTCCCTATATTTATTAGGTACTACTATATTGATTAGAAAAACCTTGCGTTTTAGATATGAGCGGCTCTGCCGCAACTAAAACAATCAAATACGCTTTCAATCTTGAACGGAAGACTTTTTGCCTCGGTTTATATTTTAACTAGTCTTGAAGGTAGCGGATTGCGATCCGCTACACTTGTACTAGTTCTTGTATAGAACGTAAGGTTGGTGTCCTAAGCTTCGCTTCCTCTGACCAAAGTGCTACGGCAGCCCCGCTGCACTTGGTGGCACTACTAGTCAATCTACGCCTGAGTCGTTACGACTGATCCTCTGTTAGCAATACACCTATTTTCCCCAGGGTGCTTACTAAGCTGATACCCCTGCTTGGCCCTGAGGGAATGGAACCTTTTGTTTCACAAGGACCCGAGGCCATAAGCGCGCGCCTAGAGGCGTTATCAAATTATGAATATGCTCTATTAAAGCACTTAAAGCAGAAGCTATCAGCGTCGACTGCGTCTATGACACCACCGTCGACGACAGATAATCACTTCGACCCAGGACGCTCATGGTGAGCGTTAAGACCTTAGAGAGAACGAGATGGCTATGACATCCACCATTCTCAGAACGAGCGACAGCGCGTGGCTGTAGCTATCTCCAAGCTCGAGAGCCGAGCGCGATAATGGGCACTAACGTGTGGCGGTTAAAGCTGCGTCCCATCCCTGGAAGGAGCTTAAGCTGCAGCTTCTGCGAATGTTCTCGCCGCATAATTAGACATACCACGTGCGATCGCGGCTCTTTGCCGCCAGACAGGGTAAGAAGGAGTTGACGGGCTTTGTCCAACAGTTGAGAGCTCTCATTGCCGGGGTTTTATCCGATCTTCTCCCCGAGGCGGTCGCAGTGATCGTCTTTATGGAGGGGCTCTACATGGAGGGGGTCCACATTGGCGTGGCCTGAATGGAAGTCTTCCGTGTGCACTCGTCTAGTGATAAAGAAGTGGTGAATGTGGCATTGAATACTGAATTCAATTTTAAGTCAGTATGACCTGGTTGGAATGGACCTCCTCAGACCTCGTCGAGTGGACCTGAGCCAATGGATTCTAGCTATACTAAGAAAGAGGAGGAGAGCTTCGAGCAGGGTTTAAACACCCGTCGATGTTTTGTCCGTGAATACACCCGTCACATTCGTACTGGTTGCTCCCTGCGCAAGGCGCGTTAAATTTTGACTAATCGACGTCCCGTTTCTAACCATTTGCGGGGAAACGAGACTACCCAGTAGGAGCAGATGCCCTACTGGAGGAAAACTGAGTTTTGTTGAGCCTGAAAGAGGTAGAGGGAAGCGGGGCACAGCCCCGAAGATCTCCGTGCTGTCGATCACGAAATGTGTATGCAAGCCGGGCTTGTTGGTCTTGGAAGCGACCGTGAAGGGCTCCGAGAAGCCGTGGGAGATCCTGATCGGTTGCGGGTGTTGGACAATTATACTCGACGTTCCACGATCGAAGGAAGTCAGCTGTATGCCGAGGTGCTGGAAGCGCGGTTGGATGACATCGTCACTATTCGCTTGGCGACGAAGAGTTGTATCACTGTGCCGAGGGTCCCTGTTGACCTCGATGTCAAGTTTCTTGACTTCGATAGCGTGGAACGCTGCTAAATCTAAGACTTGGATGCAATTTATGCCCATATCTTTGTAATAGCATGGTTGAAACACCATGAACCATAGATTGATTGGACGTCGAAGACCTGGGGCGATATGCACACGTCTCCTGCTGAAGCTTTGGTGAGTCATGAACCCATCTCTACTAGGAAGCAGAAGCGCTATTGGTGCGGGCACTGGACCGGGAAGGTCTATGTGCTGGATATTGGAGTATCCGAGCTGTCGAACACCGAAGGTGTAGTGGAAAAGAGTGGAAAAGAGTCCTGATCATGGATTGCAGGCTGAACGTGGAGTGGCACGTAACCCACTGAGCACTGCTCAAATATCAAAGCAGTTGCCGTATGCCAAGAGTGACATGGTCGGAGGTTCGAGGCATCGAGGGAGAGGCCCTAGTGATGCACGTGGAGTGGCACATTATCCACTGGGCGAAATCTGCGGGAATAGCAGCTCTTCGTCGGGTGCTGTTAATAACATCAAGGCTCCGATAGAGCAGGTATGGGGGGACTGGATAACGCCGAGTGCGTAATCCCACTGGCCTCGATGAGACGTAAAACCCTATAGAGATGTGAAGACAAAGCCGTATGATATCTGCAAGCAGCAGGGCTTCGACGCAGACCCAGAGTGTCTCCACCGTATTCGATAGCGCACATTTATACACCCTTGTCAAAGGTACGACGGGAGTGGAAGCTGTCGATGCCACCCTTGAGACTATTCCCGCGGTGAATGCTCTTATCGAGCTGGAAAAGTTGTCCTGTGAAGGGTTTGGCGGTGCCTTAAAGGTAGGCAAATTAACCGAGGTGGTCATTTACATATCGAACGAGGAGATCAACCTGTCGTCGCTTCTGGATTAAGCTGTTCTGGAGGATACTAAGGGTTGTGCTGGACGCTCGAAGTGAATCGTCGATCCTGAAGGATCCGAGGGATCCTTCAGGATCCAAAGACCCGCCGTCGGTCTTACCTCCAGGCCGAGATGTGCGTCATGAGACTGACCTGGTTCCGAGAACCAAATACTGCGTAACACGTCAATGGCCCCTTCCCACGGAGCAGTGTGACGTCAATGACACCTTCTTCCGTGCGAAACACGACGCAGGAATGGTGCGTAAGAGTAAGCCTCCCATTTGACACCCACGTTTTGTGTCCGGAGCCGAACGGCAAGTGGCGTATCGTTCGCGCTTAGACGCTGCCACCCTTCCGACACAGACACCGATCCCTAGGAAGTATGTTCTTCAGAACAATATGGTTGACTGTACAAAGTACAGCGCACTCGACTTGGTCGATGGTTATTACCAATTGCTCATGAGAGCATGTGATATTCTCTGGCAGCGGTGATTACTCCGAGCGGGATTCTTTGATAGTGGCTTAAAATACCCCAACGGCTGTCAAAATGCACCAGCAGCATTTTATCGTATTGTGACGCAGTTATTCAGGTCCGACCAGACGTATGCACAGACACACTTCGACGAAATCTTCGTCCACAGTCGTGCGGGGCACGGAAGAAACGATGTGAAAAAACACATTGTCCATTTGAGAGCGGTTCTCGAGTGCATGCGCACTAATTAAGCTGTATGCTAATGCAGACAAGTACACTTCGGCGCCAAAGAAATCCCGTTTTTAGGATGCTTCCTCGGGAAGCGTAGCCTTCGAGCGGATACAGCTGAGGTCAAGGCCATCGTGGACTGGCCGGCTCCAAATAACCAGAAGGACTTGCGCAAGTGGCTTGGCCTCACCAACAACTTGCACAAGCACACTGAGAACTATCCAGAAATGCCACGGCCATTGTCGAATTTCCTCAAGAAAGATGCGGAATGGTGTTGGGACCAATCATCGAGTGCATTCAATGGGGATAGAGACAGCCTTCTCCATGCATCAATATTAACATTGTCAGAACTTGATCGCGCTTTCAGTGTCGTCTGTGACGTTTCGAACTTTTCCATCAGCTGTGCGCTGCTGTAAGCAGCCGCCGAGAGACGTGATCGGGTGATCGCGTCCGAGCCTCGCCGGTTTAAGGCTGCGGAGAAGAACTACCCAGGAAAGCAGAATGCTTTGGCTGATGCGTTGTCACCCCGACCGGATTATGAGCTTGCTTATGTCACGACGGTGATGTCGTCAGTGACGGATGTGATCTGCGCTGCATATGAGGGCGATGGTATGTGTCTAGCGCTGTTACAGGCTCTCGGGAGCAAGGTGTTTGGAAAATTGGACGAGAAATCGGCGCGTTTGCGCGCATGGATACACCAATATTCATAGAGCTTGGGCTGCTGTTTTAAAGCACCGATCCGACGGAGACACCACGAGTTGTGGCTACTTACGATGAGGATTTGAGATACTGTATCCTCTACGAGGCCCACGACACCCTACTCAGTGGCCATCTCGGTCATGAGAGGACCTACAGCTCTGTGAGATGCCACTACTGGTGGCCCAAGCTGTATAAATGGACGAGCCTATATGTGCGCACGTGTGAGACGTGTCAGAGTGTAAAACCATCTCCGAATGTGGCGGCGCCGCTAGCCAGTTTACCGGTACCCGCTAAACGTTGGCATTTCAGGAGTATGGACTTTGTTTTTAGCCTGCC